GTAGACGCACTCCCCGAACTCGACAATCTCGCCGTTGTATGGCTTGCCACGCAGGCGCTCGTACGGCGTCTTGCCGTCTGCCTTGACGAGAAAACGGACGATGAGCCAACTCGAGTGTCTCACAAGCCAGGGCTGCACCTTGTTGCTGAGTGGGAACGCCTGCTTGTAGACGGACTCCAGCCTGTGCTTCACGGCCCTGTACTCCTTCTCAACCTCGTAATTGCTGCGCTCAATCAGCCCTGCGCTCTGACTACTGCCCTTCGGTGTGTTCACCTTCGTGACAGTATGTCTGGAAGGCCGGGTTTCCAGAAACTTGTCGCACAGCTTGTTGATAGCGCTCTCGCCATCACAACATGCAATCCAGTTTGTCCTGCCTGCGAAGCGCACTCCTTCGTGGGCGATTGCCAATGCATAGTCGTCGTCACCCTTTTGGTTGACCATGCCTGAAAACGGGGCGCCGGACTTCGCGTTCAGCACGTTCAACACAGCGTACATCTCCTTCTCCACCGCCTTCTGCGTGAGGAAAAGGTAATCCATGCACACTTTCGGCGTTGCTCCGTCGGGAGCCTGCTGGAGCTGCCGGTGGGGGTCTTCGGCGGCCTTGCCTGTGACGCAGCTTTCACGCCACGACCTGAACGGCAGATGGGTTAGCTGGTGCGCGTCCCACTCCGCCTTGCTCACAGTTGGTGGTATGGCTTTTGCTCGCGGCGCCCGTGGCTCCTCCGAGTCTGACATCAGCATAGGCGGCCGTTGGTCAGGCAGCGCGGGGTCTGGGCGCATAGCGCCGGACGCGCTCGAGGACGACCCTCCTTGTTGCACGTTCGGCCTCGGGGCCTCCCCTTGCGCTGCTGGTTGCATGGCATCAGGTGCCGCTGGTTGTTGTTCAGCCGGGGTGAACGCTTTCCTTGCTGCCTTCGCTGGGCAGAGCGGCCTCGCCTCTTGCTGCCCTGCCGCCCCCCACACTTCCAGCCAATACACCCCCCTATCCTTTACCATGTCCAATCCGCTCGATTGGCGCACGGCTTCCTTGAGGTGCTCGGCGTGGCCTGGCCCTATGATACGCTGTACCCCGGGGCCAAATACCAGCCAGTTGCCTTGCTCGGTCGACTCTGACGCCGAGGCGACAGGAACCGTGACCTTGTCGCTGCCACTGCACCGCAAGACAACGCCACTGCCGTCGTTTGCCTGGAGGTGAGACCTCTCCCCGTCCGAAAGGTTCACTTCTTCCCCCGTCGCCGTCGTCAGCGTGGTTGGTTTGACAGAGCTGTCCGGCTCTGCCCGGGGGTCAAAACCAGCCGGACACACGGACCTGCCAGCACCTGTGTCGACCATGACTCTCTGAGGCATGGGGGCCAGCATTTCGCCGGAGTCGCTCGGTGAGTATAATGGCATCAAGTACCCATGCTGCACCTCCTCCTGCCCGATCTGCATGAGACCGGCCACCGGTTGCGCCGTAGGCGGGGGTCCTGCACCGCCCTGCTGCGCGGCCTCAGGGGCCGCTGCCAGCCTAGCCTGGTTGTCCCTCGCCTTCTTCCTGCACTCCGCGGCGATGTGCCCCTTCTTGTGGCAGTAGAAGCACTCCTCCTTGTTGGCTTCCGCCTTTGCCTTGGCCTTCGGGGCTCCCTTGGTGTCCTTCCCTTTCCCTTTCCGTGGATCGCCTCCTTTTCCTTCCCCCTTCCTACCTTTACCTTCACCTTTACCCTTACCATCCCCCTTCTTGCCCTTTCCTCTTTGTGGTATGGCGCCTAGCTCCATAGGTTTGGGCTGGGAGTTCAGGTACTGCGTGGTTCGCGCCATGTCGAGCAGCTCCTCCTTCATGGCCTTCCAGGTTTCCAACCTGCTTGCGTTCTTCACAAGGTGTTGTTGGACGTCGGTGTCCTGCATGTTGACCACCACCAGGCCAATCTTAAGATCTTCGTCGAAGACCTTTTTCGACTGCTGCTCGTACTCACGGATCAGATGTTCAAACTGATCTAAGCTCTGCGGGATGTCCCCGCTGAACTTCGCGGTGAGTATCTTGATCAGCAACCCGACCCGCCTCGTGCGGATCTTCGGGTCCCAGTCAAGGACTGACTGTCTCCATGCCTCCAGTCCCTCTCCGGAGGACACGGTGGACATTTTGTCCTGGGCTGCTGACCGGAACAGCATTACCATCAAGTAGTAATGCCGCGAACTTAGTGACGCCTTCCACGGCTGGTCGAGGTCTACGTCCCTGACCACCACCTCCGAAGCCTCCGCTTCGTCTAACAACGCCGGGTACTTTGTATCTATCGCTGCTAAGTAAGCTCGAAAGATAAAAGCCCAGTCGCTCCATTTTGCACGCTCCCCGTAGAACAGCTCTGGTTTGCCGATGAGGCGCGTGTCTACAGCAGGCTGAAGCTGCACGAGAGGCTGCGCTGGCTGCGCTGGCTGAGGCGCCGGCGCCGCCCTCAGCTGTTGAACAGTGGCAACGAGCTCACGGATCTGCTGGTCTTGCTGACGCAGCTGTTCCCTTATCTGATCTTCTACAGTCGCCATGGCGCCGCGTCCTGCCACCTGCACTGCACGATGGCCTGCTCCTCGAGCGAGAGCGGCGCCGCGCTGCGCGCTCCGGCGCTGCCGACGGTCGCGGCCTCTGCGGGGCCGCTGACGGTGCACGACGGCTTGTGTCAGCCGCTGTGGCACCCCGGCGCTCGGGACAGCTCGGCTGCCCTCGCTCGGCCGCCTCGCTCTGCCGCTGGGGCGCGACGGACGGCCTGGGGCGGCTTGGAGCAGCCGCTGAGCTCGCAGCGCCGCGCTGCGAGTGGCCCGGTGGCGCCCCGTCGGTGTCCTGGAGACGCTGCTCGTGCCAAGCCTTGCTGTCCTCCAGTTCAGCAAGCGCGCAGGAGATCACCTCCAGCTCCTCGAGCAAGCGGCTGAGCTCCCGCTGTTCGCGGTCGTTGGCCTCTCCGGCGTCGTGTCGCGCCTGGAGTTCCTGTCGCCTGTCCAGGAGCGGCTTGCCTTCTCGAAAAGCTCGTCGCCGTCCAACAGCAGCAACTCGAGGGCGCGATTGTGGCTGTTGTCGAACCACTCGCGCTTACTGGCACACAACGCCCGCTGGCGGCCAGGCTCAGGATCGACTCCGCGAGTCTGCCCGGAGCTGTCGGTGACCAGCTTCGGCGCCTCGCCTGCGACCTTCCGCCTGTAGGGTTCCCAGAGAGCCTCCAAGTGCTCGCGGCGCTCGGTCGCTGTCGGGAGCACGTCCAAGGTCAGACCTAGAGACTCCCTCTGCCTGGCGCCCAGCTCGTTGCACAAACCCTCTCTGAGTGCAGGGTCCTTGTGCTTCAGCCGGAGTCTGAGCTTCCGCTGGCTCGCCCGCAACTCGTGGGATTCCTTGCTCCTCACTCGTCTGTTGTTGGGGTGTCCCTGACCCCGTGCTGGTCTCAGCGTGACCGGCTGTGGAAGGCTCTCGTGCCCTCCCGGCGGCCGGCCCTGTGCCGGCGGGCTGGGTGCTCCCCGGGCGGCCCTGGGGGAGCGGGAAGGGCGGTCGGTCCGCCGAGGTGGTGGCCCAGGAGGCGGCCTGGGTCTGGGTGGTGCTGTCCCCGCACCGGGGGCGGGCTCAGGGCCCACTGGGGAAGCGGCCTGGCGGGCCGTTCTCAGCAGCCACGCTCCGCTGCCATGACGCGGCGTCGCGCGTGGAGGAGGAGAGGAGAGGGGTCCCTTTACCTGCGCTCGAGACCGAAGGGGCTGCAGTGCCATGCAACATGCTTCTGATGCTACCCCTGCTCCTGCTACCTGCTCCTACCTACTACCTACAGTTACACAGATCATGCTATGGGTCTCAACACCTAAGGCTGCTGGAATCGATCACCTGAGGGCCTTAGCTGCCCCGATTCGGGGGCGGCAAAGAGGGGGGTGATGACTAGGGGGGGGTGGATATCGTGGCGGGGGCCATGATACTTCCCCAGATTTCATGGCGCCTCTTCTGATTTCATTACGTCCCTGGCCCCCCAGCTGGGCCGCGCACATGCCGCCGGTCATGATTTGCTCCTCCCCCTCTTAGACACCCCCCTCTTGGCCGCTCCCGACTGATACGCCCGACGCGTACCGTGTGCAAAGCGTCAGTGTTGACACGCTGCGTGTTGGCTCAACGCGTCGGCTTTCGTGTTGGCGAACGTGACGCGCCAACCGTAAGTTTTCGTGTTGAGTTCCGTGCCATCACGGCATGGGCCGTGTGTTGCGCATTGGGGCGGCGAAGTTGAGGATGTTTGTTTGCCCGGGCAGCCTCGCAAGGGCTTCGCAATTGGATATTGCTGTCGTTCCAGGGCTACCTTTTTACCCCTGGCAAGCAGGGGTCGTCGGATTCCAGGTCAGGCTGGATCTCTTAGGCCCCGCTCGTTGTCAACTGAATCTTATTAATCAGCCCTCTCGCAGCCTTCGTACGGCAATGCACGCCTTAAGCTGATCAGACTTGCAAGAGGTCAGACCTGGAAGATTCGCATGCCTGTCCGGACGTGTTTCCGCTTGCTATGTGAATACAGGTGTTGTTGCCGCCGGTATGGGCTGCAATACCCTTACGCGTGAGGGATCGCGGCCGCGCGTGCTCCGTTCCCTCCTTGCCCTAGTCGGGCGGAGCTAGGTCCACGGTTGGTCCACAGCGCTCCGCAACGGCCACGGCGCTTGGATAAACACACCAGAAACGCAGGATCTCTGCGATCCCTGATTTGTCGTGGTCCGATTTTGTCCTGGTCCTGGCTTCCCGGGGGCCCCCACACCGTGTGGTGGTCCATCCGTGTAGATTCGGGGTGACCGCACGATTTTGGGACTTGGGCTGTTCTCCGAGGACTTCTCGGGCGGCTGGGGTCTCCAGGCTCCCAGAACCGTGCGGTGACGGACCGTGCGGTGAGGTCTGTTGGTATGTCGAGGGCGCCGCGCGATCTGTCAGTGCTCCGCGTTTCGGGACCCCCAAGCGTCGTCTTGCCTGGAGGAAGAGTGGACGAGAAGGACGAGGAGGAGGAGGAGGAGATGGCCTTCCGACAGAAGCGCCAGGCGACGCGGCAGCGGCGCGGGGAACACGAATGTTTTGGACCCGTCGAGATCACCGCCGGTACGGGAACGACGAAGGACCGTCTGTCAAGCGGTGGCGAAGTGTCTTGATCTGTCGTTCGGCTCATCGAGGAGTGTTTTGATACGTTGCCATCGTGGCTGGTGTGGCGTGTTATTCGAGCATGTCTGGGTGATACAGTCTTGCGAAACCAAGTATTCTGTGATTGAAGTATATGGTATCCGAGGATGTTTTGTGGTACGTCTACAGGGAAGCTGGGACGGTCGGCCAGTGCTCAAGTCTGATGTCCGCGCCAGGCCGCCCGTAAGCGCCTCTGTTTCCAGTGCTGCGTGCCGCGCTGGCGGCCCGTGTAAGCCTCCGCGTCAGGTCGCCGTGCCGTGCCCTCTCGCGTGAGGCCCGCGTCTGTCTTTTCGTTGACCCCGCGTATGAGACGCTGCAGAACGAGCCTCGCCCTCGCTGGAGCGAGTGAGCCGACACCTCCTTCTCGGCTGGAGGCCGGCGGCATCACGCGGAGTCCAAACTGGGGACGGCTCCGCCGGTGGACGCCGGCGGAGGGCCAGCGGCAGGCGGCGGCAGTGAGGTCGCCCCTCTCAGACGGACGAAGTGTCGGGCTCTCTTGTGGTGCCAGATTTCCTCCTCCTCCTCCTCCTCCTCCTCCTCCTCCTCCTCCTCCTCCCTCCTCCCTCCTCCCTCCTCCCTCCTCCCTCCTCCCTCCCCCCTCCCCCCTCCTCCCTCCTCCTTCGGAACGGGCCAGGCGCTCAGTGGGCCCTGGAAACGACAGGGCCGTTTTTTTTACCCGTTCCGTTTTGCCGTTTTTTTGCCAGTTCCGACGCCGTCTTTTCACCGGTTCCGTCGCCGTTGTTTGACCGGTTCCGGCTCCGGCTCCCATCCTGGAGCCGTTTTAGTTGCCGTTTCCGGTCGCCGTTTTTTCGCCGTTTCCATTTTCAAGGGACGATGTTTCAGAAACGGTGAAAAACGACCCTGCTGTTTCCAGGGCCCTAAGGCCAGGCGATGGGCAGGCGCAGGACAGGACGCATCATTCCAGAGTGTTTCCGGGTGCTCTCACAGCGTTCTGGAGCGCTCTGCAGCGGCCGCGGCGCCCGATGTGCTTCTCCGCTGGGCCCAGCAGTTCTCAGAGTTCTTGGGCCATTTCTGCCCGACGCTGTTTTTTGCCTACTCCAGATTTCGTAATAAAGGGAGGGGAGTCTCATTTCGGGGGGATCTCTTCCAGGCTATCTTGGAGGGCCTGGGGGGGTCTGGGGACGATGTTTTGGAGGGTTCTCCCACGGGGGGGGTCTAAAACTTCTCGTCTGGGAGTCACCGCCCACCAAACCACCCCAACCCAACCCGAAGGCCCCAATTTGCCCTCCATTTCCAGTTGGGGGGGGTCGGGGAACGTTGAGAAAACACACATGAAGCTCGTACCCCCCCCAACCCGAAATTCGGGTCTTCGGGTTGGGTTGGGGTGGTTTGGTAGGTAGTCAGGGAGGGTTGAGACCCCCTCCCTTTTATTACGAAATCTGGAGTATCCTCAAGGAGGTCGTGAGATGTTCGGCTCAGAGCTGGGCGACGTGTACGACCGCTTGAACCAGCTGGCAGAGGCTGCGCGGAGGCAGCAGAAGCGCGACCCCTGCACAGCAGAGGCGCAGACCTCGAGGGGCCGTGCCGGCCTCCTGCCTCGTCCTTCGCCGCCTCCCTGCCGTCTTCGGCTGCTGATGCTGCTCCTCCCCCTCTCCTCCTCCCCCTCTCCTCCTCCTCCTCCTCTTCCTCCCCCTCCTCCTCCCCTTCCCTCCTGCCTTCCTCCTCTTCCTCCCCCTCCTCCTCCCCTTCCCTCCTGTCCCCGCTGTAACACGGCGTGTGTGTGTGTGTGCGTGGTTTGCAGACGCCAGTCACACAATCCAGGTGCGACAGACGGTCCGCGTGCCAGAAGCCATCTTCGGAAGGTGGGTGCTCCCACCCTTCACGAGCACCGGCCTGTGAGAAGGGGGGGGGCCGACGCGCCCCCACCCGATTCGACACGGCTATAGCCACGCCCAGGGTCAGGAACGACCGCTTAGCGCGCCGCGCCGCCTCCAGGAGCCAAACATAATAAAAGGTAGTCCGGGCGCCGTGGCACAGGGTGCCAGCTGCGAGAAAGCGAGGCGGACAGCACAAACGCTGAGCCGACGCTCCACGACGACAATGTGTTTTCCACAGCCCGGCGCAAGGCCGGAGGTGTATGGGCGCTCCTGACACCTCTATGGGCTGTCTCTCTCTCTCTCTCTCTCTCTCTATATATATATATATGTGTCTCTCTCTCTCTCTCTCTCTCTCCCTCCTTCAGCTTTCGTTGTGATATTCTAGATGGTACAGGTGCCGATTCGACTTTGCAGCCCGAGGAACTGTCGACCTTGGTAGGAGATTTGGAGAAGCGTGAGATGGCCACCGACGGGGGCTGCACGAAGCAGGCTTTTCAGCTGCTTCCATCGTGCTGCATGGGCCATCGCGCTCATGCAGCCACTGGTTCTCTCTTCGCTGTGCTCAGGGGGTTGTTCCAGGAGGATTGCCACAGTCGCCAGCGATGCCAGATAATGCAACTGCGGCGTTGTGCGGCGAGTAAGGATATGCAAGACGTTCACGGACTTCCATGGTCAGCGTGCCAGGCATGATGTTTGAAACGGTTTTTGATTGCCAGGGCGCAACAGTTACGTCGATCCGCGGTGTTGAAGTCCCACGAATGGTGTCCTGACGCGTTTCAGGATCGTCGAGACGCAACAGTCAGATTGGTTCGTGGCGTTGAAATCCAGAGAATGGTGTTCTGGCACGATTCAGGAGCTTCAACCGGTTGTTTCCCAACGAGGCACGTCCCTGGATGGAAGTTTATTATCGTAGAGGCCTACGAAAAGGAATCTTGGAGGGAGGGTTCATTCCAACATCGTTGATGAGTCTTGGATTTGCATTGGTTTTCGGCCTCTTATGAACGATCCTTCCCTGTCGCGCCCCGGGGCCAGTCGGAAAGGCCCGCCGGGCGTTCCGCTGGATAGTGAATGATCCTGAAGTTTCAAGATTGGCGACAGACTTACATCTGGAGAGCGGGCGATTTTCAAATTGCGGCTTTCGCCGAGGTGCCGCGCGTGTTCGTCCTGGAGCACTGCAAGGGTTCCACGGAGATTCAAAATGTGGTTCCCGCTCCAGCGCCGCGCGCGTTCTGTTTCACAAGGTGCATGCTTTTCACGGATTGAGGGCGGATGGTTTTCAAAATGCGGCGTTCGCGATAGCGCCGCGCGCGGTTCTTTGGCGAAGTTGTGGGAACTCCGCGGATTGAGGGCAGTTCCTTTCTTGAAGTAGTGTTTCTCACCTTAGTACCGCGCGCGCTCGTCTCAAACGTTCGCAGGGATTTCACGGCTTCCCGCGGCTGGAGTGCCAGACGTGGCGTCTTGGAAAGATTCAGGGTTGTCCGGTCGCAACAGTTGCGTTGATGCGCGGCGTTGAAGTCCCGCGAATGGTGTTTTGGCACGACTCATCAGGACCATCCAATCGTAACAGTCAGGTTGATTCGCGGCGTTGAAGTCCCGAGAATGGTGTTTTGGCACGCTTCAGGATCTTCAACCCGACGGGGCCTTTCCCTCAGTGGACATGCGCCCATGTAGGGCCCTATGGCGATGGAGCTTGGAGGGAGTGTGTATTTCAACATTGTTGATGTGTCATGGTTTACACTGGTTTTCCTCCTCCCCCCATTCCCCCCCCCTCCTCTCTCTCATCTTCCCCCCTCCCCCCCCTCTCCTCCTCCTGCTCCTTTCCTTCTTCCCCTCTTCTCCCTCCTCCTCCTCCTCCTCCTCCACCTCCTCTTCCTATCCTCCTCTTCCTCCGGCAACGACGCCGGCGCCCACGCCGGCACCGTCGCCAACACCGACGCCGACACCGACGTCGGCACTTACGCCGGCACCGTCGCCGGCGCCTACGCCAACACATTCGCCAACACCGACGCCGACATCGACGTCGGCGCCAGCGCCGGCACCGACGCCAGCGCCTACGCCAGCGCTGTCTCCAGCTCCGACGCCGACACTTGTCATTTGATCCTGGACGCCCATCTGCTCCCGCCGTTGATGGTATGTTGAAGGAAAGTGCCCGAGAGTCCAGTGCAACTCATCGTGTCCATTCCACTGCTTGTGCTAATTGTGGATAACTGCCCTAATTTCCGCCCCGAGCCTACCACACAGCTTCGACTCCGGGCACGCAGAGGCGGACAAATCGTGCCCCCCCTGGAGACCCAAGGGCGAAAACAGGGAGAGGGGAAACAAAAACACGATATGGTATCACGGATGTTACTGCACACGTACAGTGCCACCAAAAAAGGGCCACATTTTGTTGAAGCGTGCTGGGGCTCTCACCTACCGGGGATGGCGGCCGACTACACGCCGGCACCGACTCCAGCGCCTACGTCAGCCCGATCGCCAACGCCGCAACAGACACCGACGCAGGCGTCGACATTGGCACCGACGCCAGCACCTACGTCAGCAGTCAGCACCGTCGGCAGCACCGAAGCCGACCCCGATGTCGGCGCCTACGCCGGCACCGACGCCGGCGTCCAGCTCGCCGACTCCCGCTCACACCAGCTCGCCGACTCCCTCGCCGACCCGCTCACCGACTCCAGCACCGGCCAGCTCGCCGACTCCTGGGGCGACCAGATCACCGACTCCCGCACGGACCAGCTCTCTGGCGATCATTCGCATTTTTGATTTTGCGTGTGGCGTGCGTGGCGGCATCCGGGTTTTGCCCGGAGCATGACTGCGAGACAGGTTTGTAACCTACGACCGGATGTTTCTGAAGTGCACTAAGCGCCGCGCGCCGACCAATTCGCTGGCTCCGTCGCCGACCACGTCACCGTCCCAGCATCGTTCAGCTCACCGACTCCCGCACCGACCGACGCGACGACTCCAACGTCGAACAGATCACGGACTCTCATGCCGACCAGGTCGCCGACTCCAGCACCGACCAGCTCACCGACTCCCGCACCGAGAGGCTCGCCGATTCCCTCGCCAACCAGGCCGCCGATTCCCGCACCGACCAGCTAGCGCCGACTCCCGCACGGACCAGCTCGCCGACACCCGCGCCGACCAGATCGCCGACTCCCCCGCCGTCCAGCTCGCCGACTCCCGCGCACACCTTTTCGCCGACTCCATCGCCGACCATCTCGCCGACTCCCGCACCGAGAGGCTCGCCGATTCCCTTGCCGATCAGCTCGCAGTCCCCCGCGCTGCCCAGCTCACCGACCCCTGCGCGGTCCTGCTCGCCGACTCCCGTGCCGACCAGATCGCCGAAGCCAGCGCAGACAAGCTCGCCGACTCCCGCGCGGACCAGCTCGCCGACTGCCGCGCCGACCCGCCCACCGTCTCCAGCACCGGCCAGCTCGCCGACTCCCGCGCCGACCAAATCGCCGACTTCCGCACGGAACAGCTCTCGAAGGCGCTATCCAGAGGCGACTGCCGCGCCGACCAGCTCGCCGGCTCTCTCGCCGACCAGGTCACCGACTCCAGCATCGATCAGCTCACCGGCTCCCGCCCCGACCACGCCGACCACAGCGTCGGCCAGTTCACCGATTCCCGTGCTGACCAGGGCGCCGACTCCAGGACCGACCAGCTCGCCGACTCCCATCTTATGGGTGGTGGTAGGGCCACTCACTGGGACATCACGCTCACGGCCATCGGCCTCATCGGCCGCTGGCGGCAGCATGCGTCGCTGCCTCACTTTCCTTCTCCTTTCCGCTTTCCTCGTGCATGTTAGGCGTCCGTTCTTTGTTATATTTCGCGTGACTAATAGGCCCCCGCGCGGCCGCAGCCACCCGACCCCGCCCCTTTCCCAAGGCAGCGTGCTTGGCTGGCTGCCGCCCCTTGGGACTATCGGCGACTCCAAGGCGCCTTGGCGCCTCCATCTGATGGATGTCCATGTGTAGCCTTTCCTGTACAGGGTGCAACTCTCGCTGCTGCAGGCCTGTCTCTCTGCTCTATGTGTTACCTTGCACGTGGAGCCTGTTGGCTGTGATCGTGCTGTCCTCTCTCCTCCCTCCCTCCTCCTTTTCCTCCCCCTCCTCCAGTCTTTCTTTTTGTACTGTTTAGGTGGGCGTTCGTGTCCACGACACCTGCTATTCCACTTTGGCTGCCCAGAACGCTTCGTCGCGGTGCCGTTCGGGATGGCTACCATCCAGCTCCCGTCTCGCCGGCGCGACGATTTGCAGGGAAATCCACGACGTGCGCGGCTTGACTTTTCATTTCACTGTTTGCTCGGTGCTTGTTCTCTTCGGGACCTGGTTCCGCGCCAAAGGCGTGCGGCACTGGTCGTCCGTCTCAGGAACATTCTACCACTGGGCCACATTTAAAGGGCACACAACCGACCGCCACTTTGAGGGTCTGCGGAGCCTGGGTTGAAAAAGTGTGGGAGATGGTTATCCGACGCACGCTTACCGCTTACACGGCATTGAATTGCAAGCTTCTGGTAGTGGATTGGTACATTCGTGTACATCTGACGATCGACAGCCGCCGTTAGTCTGGGGAGCATTTCGCCCCCGGGTAGCGTTTTCTCGGACCCTCAGGTACCGTGTGGTCTTGTGGGTTCCAAAACAATCCCCGCCAGGAAAATCGTTGAGTATCCCCGCCCGACCCCGAACGTTATTGTCCCCCCGGGATGATTATCGGAGGCACAGGGTTAGTCTTCCGCTGAGGCCCGTGAGCGCAAATGGTATGATACGCTCCCGAGACATATCCTCTTCGTGCGCGCTTTTTTTCGTACGTCCTGCACAGTGCTGTGCTCGTCTGGCGAGGAGTAATGTAGAGCGCCACAAGTCAAACTACTTCAGATCCCGTTTGAAAGCCTCATGCAGCACGCCGACCCCATACCATCTGCGAAGTAGTATATACTCTCTTCAGAGTTCCTCGCGGACAGTTCGGCCATTTCATCAGACAACTATTCTCGCTGGAGGCTGTAATCAGCCTCCTGCGAGAGTAGTTTTCTGGCGGCATCCAAAATCAATCGACCAAGTGCTCCCGATCACTCGAGCCTTGTTCGCCCGCTCTCCATCAGACCTGGCCTGCGTGCCCACGAGCGCGTAGATGTCGCTCTTTGGCAGTGCCTCGTCGATGTCCGTAAAGCGTTCGACTGATCTGGCGGCGCTCGGGTTGTAACAGATCGCTCCCTATAGCACGCTCTCCCCGCCCGCCCCTTTCGTGGGGCAGCCCCGCCGACGCGTGACCCACTTTGCGAGAAAGGGACTCGCATTGTTCTCTGTTCGAGTGCTGTCCCGAAATGTCCGATAGACGGCTCGGGCCGCCTGGAGATGGAGGAGGAGGAGGAAGGGGAGGCGGAGGAAGGGGAGGAGGAGGAGGAGGAGGAGGAGGAGGAGGAGGAGGAGGAGGAGGAGGAGGAGGAGGAGGAAAAGAGGGAGGAGACGGATGAGGGATTGCGAGGAGTGAGATTCAAGTGGTGGTGGAGGAGGAGGAGAACGAGAGGGAAAGGAGGAGGAAGAGGAGGAGGAGCAGGAGGAGGAGACGATCATCAGGAGGAGGAGGAGGAGAAGGAGGGATGACGAGGAGGAAGGAGGGGGAGGAGGAGCAGGAGGAGGAGCAGGATGATTATGAGGAGGAGGATGCGGAGGAGGGCGCGGAACGCTGCGGCTGGTGCGCGGCCGCGGGTCGGCCGGCCGGATGCGGGAGTCGCTCGTGCCGCTCCCGTAGAAGAGGACGAAGAGAGGCGAAGGAACACCACCACCATCAGTTGGATGGGGAGGGGGTCCTCCTCCTCCTCCTCCTCCTCCTCCTCCTCCTCCTCCTCCTCCTCCTCCTCCTCCCCAGAAACCTTCGAACCCAAAGGGCTGGCACCTCATCGCCCTGGACAAGGACGGAGGGAGGAGAAGCGACACCAACACCACCAGGTGGCCCGCCTCCAGCGAGGAGGCCCACGAGAGCTCCCCGAGCTGGAGGCTGGGCATGCCTCGAGCGAGAGCGGGGGACCACACCACCAGGGAGACCCCCCTTGCTTCCTCGCGTCTCCTCGCCCTGGCGGCGTCGGTGTCGACTTTCTTTGTTCATGAGACCCTCTCGCGCCGTGAAATGTTACCGACAGGATTTGCTTTGCCAAGTTTCGGCATCTGGGGGCCTTCTCGGGGTTCTGGGACAGGGGTTCAAGAACCCGCGGGCATCACCTCAGGTCCAGCCACGGAGGTGGGGGCCCGATCGGTCTCGACGGCCCTGAGGGGGCCAGTGGCACGCGAGATCCTGCGAGACACGTCCGCTCCGGTGGCCTTCTCCTCCTCTCCGCCCTCCTCGTCCTTCTCCCCGTCGCCCCTATCCCCCGCCTCCCTCCTCCTCCTCCCGCCTCATCTCCCTCCTTCCTCCTCCCTCATCTCCCTCCTTCCCCCTCCTCCCTTATCTCCCTCCTTCCCCCCTCCTTCCTCCTCCTCCTCCTCCTCCTCCTCCTCCTCCTCCTCCTCCTTCCCCCTTCTCCTTCTCCTCTCTCTCCTCCTCCTTCTTTCTCCTCCTCTTCCTCCTCCTCCTCCTCCTCCTCCTCGTCCCTCCTCCTTCTCCCCGAGGTTGGCCAGGTGAACAGCGCCTTGGCCGCGTTCGACCACATCGTCAGCGAGCTTCCGGAGGCGCGCGAGGCTGGGCCTCAGAGCGGCGGCCGCTGCCGCAGCGACGGCCGCGGTACGGTGTGGCGGGTGTGCGGAAGCGCAGCGCTCGCGATCGCAGCTCGCCCGGAGTCGGCCCCTCGCCTTCCCTCGGAGGCCGCCCCCTCTCGCCCTGGCCCGCTATCTGCGCGACGCCCTGGGGGCAAGGAGGACCAGGTGGGGGGGATGGGACGGGGGGCGAGGGGGGGGGGAGGGGGGGGGAGGGGGGAGGGGAGGGGGGAGGGATGGGAGGGGGGAGGAGAGGGGATGGGGTGGGGGGGGGGGGGGGGGAGGGAGGAGGACCAGGTGGGGGGGGGAGGAGGACAGGTGGGGGGGGGGGGGAGAAGGGGGGAGGAGGACCAGGCGGGGGGGGAGGAGGAGGGGGGAGGGGTGGGGGGGAGGCCGGCGATGCAGACGAGGAGGAGAAGAGGAGGAGGCCCAGGAAGGGAAGGCTTGAAGTCCAGCGCAGACTTCCTTCATCCATGGGGTGTGTAGGTCCCAGGTCGCATCCGGGTGGGGGAGGCCGACGATGCAGACGAGGACGAGGACAAGAGGAGGCCCAGGAAGGGAAGACATGAAGCATGAAGTCCAGCGCAGACTTTCTTCTCTTAATGGGGTACAGTCGACCCGCATGGAAAGAACGGGCCACCTCTCCAAGGCCTTAACATGGGCCTCCAAGTCCCTTGCATCCATACCGCGCATCCTTACGATACGGGTTGGAGCTGAAGTTTCTGCACTCACGCACGCAGTAGATAACATAACGCCCTCCACTCCAACCCCCCCGTTGCAGCAGCGCCTGTTGTTTAGCGCGCAGGTATGCCGTTCGTAGGGCGCGCGCAACGTGTTATGTTATGCTCCAGCGAACCCGTCCCGCCCACCCAGCGAACCCACCCGCGTTATGTGGTTTCAAAACGACTTGAGCTCTGGACGGTATGCAGGTCCCAGGTCGCATCGGGACTTATGAACCTGCGTCTGCCCCTTGGGGTCCTCCGTGGCGTGCCACGTCCCTGGGCCAGCCACATCTGGGGGGGGGAGCTGTAGCCCCCGTCCTCGCTGGGGGGCCCAGTCGGCGTCGACACCCCGCTCGAGGGATCGTCGATGGGATGGGCTTCCCCATCAAAGGAGGTCAGGAGCACAGCTCCCCCAGCTGTGGCTGGTCGGGGCATGAAGGTACGTTTCGGTAGCAAATCATGGGAGCCCTGCGTACCCTCTCGATTCCGTCCTTAGCGTCGAGTAGCGTCGATTAGCGTCTGGGGGTAGATGAGATAGCGCCGATTTAGCGCAGGTTAGCGACGACCAGCGTCGATTTAGCGTCGATTAGCGCCGATGAGCGCCCGTTCGCAAGAGCCGGCAAGATGGCATGGGAGGTTTCATGGGTTGCAACCGAAGTAACTCACGGGTAGCGTTATGTCGGGCGTGTCCCCCTACAGGGGGATTTTCGACGAAAAAAATATAATACCCCAAAACTAATCAAACAATTGTCCAAAAATAGTCTGGGGATTATTTTTTGAATATTTGTTTGCCTTTTTGGGGCATTTTGGGTCCCTTTTTGTATTTTTCGTCGAAGATCCTCCTGTAGGGTGACAGTGCCCGACTTCAGGGTAGCGCAGGGCTTCCTCCTCGGAGGGGGTCAGGGGTTCGGGCCCCCCTCGGGGGCCAAAATGCGAGCCCTACCCCCTGCCCCCCACGATGTCTGAGCGAAGTGAACCCCGCCCTCCCCCTCAGAAGTCGTGGGGGGGCAGGGGTTCGGGCCCCCCTCGGGGGCCAAAATGCGAGCCCTACCCCCTGCCCCCCACGATGTCTGAGCGAAGTGAACCCCGCCCTCCCCCTCAGAAGTCGTGGGGGGGCAGGGGGTACAGTCGGGTTCCAGTAGTAGGTCGGCCCTGCGAAATCAAGGGTGTTCTTGTGTCCTGTGCATCGCGCGTCGTGTCCTCTGCGGCCGAAGGGCAGGGTACCCTTGCGTCCTGTGGTTTTGGAGGCCATGTTGCCGTCGGAAGAGTCTTGTGTCCTGTCGCGCGTCCTGTGCGCAATAACCCGCCTGTAGGGCTCGCAGGTGGCCCCCTGCCCCCTCCCCTTCGCCGGCAGCCGAGGGCGGAGCTCTGCGGGGGGGGGGGGCGGGCGGGCGCAGGAGGCGGAGCGGCGGCTGCGGGCGGGGGCCTCGGCGTGCGCAGAGGGCCATCGGGAGGGGCAAGCACGCACAGAGGCACGACTGGTCGTCGATCCCCAGGGGAATGTGGGAAAATGTGGGAAGGGGGGGGAGGACGAGATTCCAGAGAGTATTGAGGAAATACTGTGAGTCCTGGTATTTGTGTGTATTATTATTATTATTATTAGTATTATCATTATTTTTATTCTTAGTATTATTAGTATTATTATTATTATGTATTATTATTATCATTATCAGCATTATTATTAGTATTATTAGTATTATTATTATTAGTATTATTAGTATTATTATTATCATCATTATTATCATTATTATCATTATTAGTAGTATTAGTCGTATTAGTATTAGTATTAGTATTAGTATTAGTATTAGTATTAGTATTAGTATTAGTATTATTAATAGTATTGTTATCATTATTATTGTTATTCTTATATTATTTATATATACATATATATATATATATATATATATATATATATATTAGATATACATATATAAATATATACATATATATATATATATGTGTGTGTGTGCCCCTGGGCCCCTTCAAGTGAGGAGTCGCGAAGAGTGCCAGCCGATCTGGCAATGCAACCGTCTCGTTGGCGCACGGACGGTCCTGGACGACCCCACTGGCGCCCCCCAGAGGCTCTCGAGAGATGCCCAGAGGCTTCCAGAAGACGCCCTCGGGGAGGTCTGAGGGGGGCAAACGACACTGGAATGCCTGAAGCGCTTCATTGCTGTTGGCGTTCCGCGCGTTTCGCGCCAGTGTCGGCCCAGATGTGCACTTTGACGGGCCCTGGAGCTCTCAAGAGGCTCCCAAGACGGCCCAACATGGCTCCAACAGAGCTCCGAGACGACCCAACACTCCCCACAAAGGACCCCAACCTGGCCTAAGAGGGTGCCCATAGGGGCACCGTAAGGCCAAACAGACCCAAAGATCGCACAAGAGAGCGCACCCCAAGACGGCACGAGAAGGCCTCAAGTGGCACCCAAGACGGCCCCACATGCCAACAGAAGTCCCCAGGACAGCCGTAGAAAGCCCATGCTGCCCCCTAGACGTCTCTACCATGGCACACCCCTCTTGGAGCCCCTCTTTGGGCTTTCTCGGGCCACCATTGGGACAGGAAGCGAAAATGCGAGACTGCGATTTTGTATGTTTTGGTGTCTTTTTTTGCTGCTGGCCTCTCTGGGCATCCTTGGGAGGAGCCGTGGCCACCTCTGGCCGTTCCATGGGCGTTCCCTGGGCCCTTGCGGCGCCTGGGGGCTTTTATGTGGTGCGGCGGGTGCCCTCCTGGGGCGTCTCGAGTGAGGAATTGAGACCGCCTGCGAAAGTCATTGGGGCCGTCTTGGGGCTTGCCTATTAGCAGGCCTTGGGGCCGATGCGAGGGTCAGGGAGGAGGCCGTCGAAGAATGAAACATCTTCGGTGTGCCGCAGCGGGGTGAAGCTACTCCTAACACCAAAAAGTGCAGAAACCCGATCGGGCCTGCTGCCGGCGCGCGAGCAGGCCTTGCTCCTTCTCGGCAACCTGCGCTGCGCTGGGTGCAGCGAGGCGGCGTTCGCCTCCTGAGTTGCGGGTCGGGCTGCGTGGAGCCCGCAGGTGCCCGACGGAGTCGGCACCGCGCCGGGCCAATGGCGGCAACGCTGGATGCCCTCTGTCCGCGAGTCCAAACAGAGGGCAGGAGCCCGATCGCCCGATCTTCTTCCAAGGAAGGGTCGAGGCGCCTCGAGGCGCTTGTGAAGCCGCGCCCGCGCGCGAGCTCACGTTTAGCCCCGGGTTACGTTAGCCTCACGATTGTCCAGCTGCCCGCGGCAAGTCCCGTCGCCGCGCCAGCACAGCATTTTGGGTGGCGACGGCTCGAGTTGGCACAGGACGCCGTCACGCGTCGCGCGTCGTGTTTCCCAAGCTGGGGGCCGTGATGCTGGTGATGATGACGGGGATGGTTATGGTGACGATGGCGGTGATGGTGGCGATGGCGATGGTAATGATGCGGCGGAGGAAGACGAGTAGGAGGGGAAATCTGACGATGGTGATATTTTTTTGGTGTTGAGGATGACGATGAGTATGGTTGTGGTGGTTACGATGATGATGCTTATGCCGAATTGGAGGGGGAGGAGGACGAGACAGCCCGTCACATGTGTCACTTTTCTTTACACGCTATACAAACAAGCGTTCGGAAGCCGCGCGGATTTCCTGGATCCGCGCTGGGGACCCCTCACGGAACCTCCGGCGCCGCCCGTGGCGCGCTCTGCGCGCCACGGAGGGGGTCTAGCGCAGATAAAGGGAATCCGCGCGGAGCGCCGAAAGTGTCTGTTTATGGTGTTGTTTCTTCTGCTTTGAGGGTAATCGCGGTCGCTTCGGGAACGCGGTTCCATATTTAGTTGGGGGCATCGCGGCCCCGGGGAAAAAGGGGGGCAATGCATGCGGGAAGCGTGGCTGACGGGGGAGAGGCCCCCCATCAGAATGGAGGAGCCGTGCCAGACAGCCCTTGGCACTCTTCCACGCCTCAATGTGAACAGGGCGCGGTGGTGGATAAATGAAGGGCGCCCCCCCGGGGGCCGCCCCCCCCCCGTCCCGTTCCTCTTCCAAGGGGTCGGAACAGAGCTCCCAGCGGCGAGAGATTTATCATTTCCCCTCATGGGCATTGAAACCCCCAGCCGGTTGCGGCGGCGGCTGAGGCGACTGCGGCGTTTCAGCGTCGCTTCGTTTCGCTGCCGTGTTTACAAGTCGCGCGATGTGGACACACGTGCCTCCGGCGATTATGGGCCGCCCAACGATTTCTGATTATTGAACCGTTTCGCTCGTTTCGCCCGCCTATATTGCGAGCC